CCCCAAAACCCCAAAACCCCAGCAAGCTTGATATTAGTATATTGAAGAATATTTCAAGTTATAAAATCATCTTAATTAATAAGCTATAGCAAATATAATTCAATCTATTTGTTTTAAATAATCAATGAATCAATAAATCAAGAATTTCAATTATTTTTGACTTTATTCAAGATCTTCATCTGTTTCTTGAACTGAATAGCACAAATCCATCTGTTTAAAGTAGATGAAAGCTGAGATAGTTTAACAGTTAAATAAAAGAATAGACTAGCAACATAAATTTCATCTCTTCTTAATTTAATAGCTCTCAGCATTACATCACAAGCTTTGTCTACTGGTAAAGCTTTGGCATTATTATCATCAACTTTTCCGAAGGCTTCCCCAGAGCCTGTTGCTGCATTCTTTGAAATATTTGTTTTAACATATCCTGGGTAGATACAAGTTACCGAGATACCATATTGCTTAAGCTCTGGCCTTAGAGATTTAGAAAAACCATCGACTGCAAACTTTGATGCACAATAAAGAGTTCTTACTGGATTTCCGAATACAGCAGAAATGGACAAGATGTTTACAATTTGCCCTGATTTCTGACTTATCATCTTTGGTAGTAGCCCATTTATAAGAGCTATACTTGACATGCAGTTGACATTCATCAAGTTAGTGCAAGTCTTAAATTCAATATTCTTGAATTCGTCTCTCATTGAAAGGCCGCCATTGTTCACTAATATATCTACTCTGTCAACTAGCTTCATATCTTTTATCTATTATAGACACTATTCTGGCTTGCTTAAATCCATCTCCATTACAATCACTTTTGATGGATCTTTACATTCAGATTTGACTCTCTCAAGCTCATTCAATCTTCTGGCAGTAATAATGACCTTTTCAGCATTAAGTTCAACAAATCTCTTTGCTAATTCTTCTCCGATTCCACTACTGCCACCTGTGATAAGAACGATCTTGCCTGAAAAGTCGAGTTTAACTGTCTTCATTTAGTAGTATTTGTAAGCTTGATAAAAGGCTGTCAAAAGCAGTATTACTGTCAAGATACACACTCCACTCATTTATTATTCTATTTATTACTAATTTTATCATCTATCCTTTGACCAATAGCATGTCGGGGTTTTGGGGTTTTGGGGTTTTGGGG